TCTGGTGAAATGTAGGACAAGTAACCCATATCCTGTAGTCTCCAGGGAGGCTGATCCATCAGGGAGGCGCAGCTCAGACCACAATAAGCTGAAAGATAATTAGGTCTGTTTGTCATCAGCTCTGTGGGGCTTTGCTGCATCCAGATGCTCAGAATCCGTCAAATGATTTCCTGACTGCGTCAGCACGAAGAACGGCATTGAAACCTTTCCCAAAGGTACACCTGACTTCATTTTCACTGGGCTTCATTCTTCGGCACGTTTTGTATTATTACCAAGGGAGACGCGCTCGCATCAGTCAGCGCTGTTAGCATGTTCTAGATCAGGTTTTAATTACATTCATCGGAGCAGAGTCCAGCTACAAACCTGATGCTGTTTCCAGGTTTAGAGTAACTAAATAAGGACGAGCGCGCTGCATGAACAGGACTCCCTGCAGGGATCAGCCAACTCTTTAGTTGAAATCGATCCATTTTAAGGTTGTAAAGTTTGACTCTGAGCTAAATTCAACAATTTTCTGCTTCACCAACTTTTGATTGTGCTGCTCCCAGATTTCTATTCTAGTGTGCATTCACAAAAGCTGAAGGCTAACGTAGAGCTAGCATCAAACCACTTCAGGCCTTTAAAGTGTCTCATCAACATATTTCATCACATCATCTCAAATTCATGTGATAGGAGTATTACATATTTTATAGTGATGAATGTGTGGTGTACTGAGAGCAAACAAGCTTAACAATTGTTAACATTTTGTTATAATTACAAAGTACTATTAACTTAATTTATGTTGCTCATTGTTTGACAGCGTTTAAATAAACGATTAATATATTTTACTCAACTTCTCTACTTGTTTTTAATCTGTTGTAACCACATTTTAGCATACGGAGTAAACAATTGCTTTATTGTTTTGTTTTTATCAAAATAAAATATCTTGGTAGTACTTATTTAAGCTTTCTAAATTCTTGAATATTAATATACTTTTATACATACAGTGAGGAAAACGAGTATTTGATGCTGATTTTGTAAGTTTTGCCACCGACAAAACAATAGAGAGGTCTGTATCTTTTATTGTAGCTACACTTCAACTGTGAGAGACAGAATCTAAGATAAAAATCCAGAAAATCACATTTTATTTTTTTTAATGATTTTGGCCAACAACCTCCTTCCTTCAGTAAGAGCACTGAAGATGGGTCAAGGCGGACAATGACCCCAAACACACAGCCAGGGCAACTAAAGCGTGGACCCATAAGAAGCATTTCAAGGTCCTGGAGTGGCTTAGCCAGTCTCCAGACCTGAACCCAATAGAAAGTCTTTGGAGGGAGCTGAAACTCAATGTTACCCAGTGACAACCCCGAAATCTGAAAGATCTGTATGGAGTGGGCCAAAATCCCTGCTGCAGTGCGTGCAAACTTGGTGAAGAACTACAGGAAACGTTTGACCTCTGTAACTGCAAAGAAAGGTTTCTGTACCAAATATTAAGTTCTGTTTTTCTGTTGTGTCAAATACTTATTTTCTCCACCGTAAGTACTAATATTAATTGATACTCTATCAGAAATAAAACAAGAGTAATGCATATGTCGTCATATCCACCCGTCAACAAATTAATATACAACCACTATCCACCTTATTCCTTGGCCTCACACTGTAGAATCCATGAATCCGGCATCTCTTCTCTGGTGGCTTATTGTAGTCCAGACACAAAGTAGGATGCAGGCTTTTATCTGTCGGCCGTTGAGCTAACATACAGCATTTAGGGTGGTCTCTTCAAGTTCACATTTTTCAGCCACATTCTTCTTAATTCCTCATCTGTAGGTAGGAGATGGAAACCATACCTCTTTTCACAGCAACGTTCCAACATCACATGTCAACGCTCAAATATTACCTCAACTACAGCTCCAAATCCCAAATGAGTTGTAAAGGAGGCGCCGTGGATGCATCTCTGTCTACCTGGTGGAGGTGCTCGAGTGACTGCCGAGATCCTGGAACTGGCAGGAAATGTGGCTCATGACAAGAAGACTAGAATCATCCCTGGACACCTGCAGTTGTCTGTATGCAATGATGAGGAGCTCAACAAGCTGCTGCGAGGAGTGACCATCACTCAGGGAGGAGATCTGCTCAATATTCAGGTGGTCCTGCTGCCCAGGAGGACCGAGAGGCCTGCTGGGTCCGGGTGGACGAATCAACATCTGCAACCAGTTTCTTAAGCTTCGCTGTGGGACGGACTGCTGCGTAAGATTCTTCTTGCCCACAGCCATCAGCATCTAGAACAACTCTTAATGAAACCAGGATTATGAGTTACATCATTTAATTTCCATTTGGGATTAATAAAGTATTTTGAATTAGAATTTTTGTTTTGGTAGTTCCAAACTCTGTTGTTGTAGCCACTGATTTAGTTTGGTCTGGTTGTTCTGCAGCCATGAACACAACAGGTACCTGAACTCAGCACGGCTATTTTAGCAAATAAACTTTATGGTTGTTAAATAAATGTAAATGAACAAAACAAAAACAGAGTTTTATCTGCTAAACTGAATGTAAATTACTTTCAAATAAGCTGCGGTACATGCTCCACTACCATAGTTAATCAATGCTTACTGCTACTTCCTGTCTGACAGGAAGTTGTACCCATAATCATTTATATAGTAGAGCCCCCAGGAATAAGGTAGATAGCAATGGCCCAATTATCTTAAGGCAATATGAATTTTGAGCAACATTTTTTGTTTTATAAATCATGACCTTGGAATGACGCAAAAAACATTTACAGGCTGTTTTTTGTATAACTTTTCATGGTTTTGTGGCCACATGACATTTATCACAACACCAACACTAGATCCTCATCCCCAAGACGCATCTGAGATCTGTGTCCACTGCAGATCAACCTTGAACCTTTGTATGTCCAAAGACACAATGCATTATTAAAATGTCTTGTTAAGCCTTAGTGTGCCAACATTAAGCAAAATCATTTTTTGAAACCTGTGACCTTGACTTGTGACTTTGATATTAATGTTCTGGAGAGGAGGGTCCGTCGGATAGTCGAACCTCAGATTCAGGAGGAGCAGTGTGGCTTTCGTCCTGGTCGTGGAACACTGGACCAGCTCTACACTCTCAGCAAGGTCCTGGAGGGTGCGTGGGAGTTTGCCCAACCAGTCTACATGTGCTTTGTGGACTTGAAGAAGGCGTTCAACCGTGTCCCTCGGGGAACCCTGTGGGGGGTATTCCGGGAGTATGGGCTACCAGGCCCTTTGATACGGGCTGTTAGGTCCCTGTATGATTGGTGTCAGAGCCTGGTCCGCATTGCCGGCAGTAAGTCGGGCTTGTTCTGGTGAGAGTTGGACTCCGCCAAGGTTGCCCTTTGTCAAGATTCTGTTCATAACTTTTATGGACAGAATTTCTAGGCACAGCCAAGGAGTTGAGGGGATCTATTTTGGTGGCCTTAGGATCGCGTCTCTGTTTTTTGCAGATGATGTGGTCCTGTTGGCTTCATCAGGTCGTGATCTACAGCTTTCGCTGGAGTGGTCTGAAGCCAAGTGTGATGCGGCCGGGATGAGAATCAGTTCCTCCAAATCCGAGGCCATGGTTTTGAGCCGGAAAAGGGTAGAGTGCCCTCTCTGGGTCAGGGAGGAGGTCCTGCCCCAAGTGGAGGAGTTTAAGTATCTCGGGGTCTTGCACACGAATGAGGGAAAAATGGAACCTGAGATCGATAGGCGGATAGGTGCAGCATTGGCAGTGAAGTGGGCGCTGTACAGGTCTGTCGTGGTGAAGAGAGAGAGGAGTCAAAAGGCAAAGCTCTCAATTTACTGGTCGATCTACGTTCCTACCCTCATCTATGGTCATGAGCTTTGGGTTGTGACCGAAAGAACGAGATCACGGATACAAGCGGCTGAAATGAGTTTTCTCCGCAAGGTGTCTGGGCTCTCCCTTAGAGACAGGGTGAGAAGCTCGATCATCCGGGAGGGACTCAGAGTAGAGCCACTGCTTCTCCATGTCGAGTGGAGCCAGATGACGTGGCTCAGGCATCTGGTTAGGATGCCTCCTGAACGCCTCCCTGGTGAGGTGTTCCGGACACGTCCCACTGGGAGGAGACCCAGAGGAAGACCCAGGACACGCTGGAGGGACTAGGTTTCTCGGCTGTCCTGGGAACGCCTTGGGATTCCACTGGAGGAGCTGGACAAAGTGGCTGGGGAGAGGGAAGTCTGGGCCTCTCTACTTAAGCTGCTACCCCCGCGACCCGACCCCGGATAAGCGGACAAAAATGGATGGATGGATGGACATTAATGTTGGGGTGATAAGATTATGTGGCATGATGTCTGTTGGTGTACAAATGTGTATCAAGTTTCGTCGAATTATCATTAGTGGATCAGACGTTATGGCCCGGACAAGCAAATACCTCATTTTAACTTTAACCTTGATTTGTGACCTTGACCTTGGAACTGGCGTGATGAAAAGTATATGTGACACTGATGCATGTGGATTAAGTTTTGATAAATTGATGCAACTTTTTCCTAACTTTGTGCAAAATTAAGTTAAAAAAAAAACCCAAACCAAATACCGGTAAGTCTAGTTCAAAACAAGTTTTATCTAAAATTTTAGTGCTTTTTAAAATTATCCTTTCATAATAAAAGCCTTTTTTATGACTCCATTGCAACTGTAAGCTGAATTCATCTCAGTGTTTTGTTTGAGTCATTTCACTGTGAATTTGACTAATGTATCTTGCATTAATTGAGTCAAATAATGATTTATTGTTTTTGTGTAGCAGCACAGAATAAACTCAACAGAGTCGCTCAGTCCAACACGTCTGAAAACTCAAAATATTAAGTTTGCTTCAGCGTTTCGGTCACTCGCCATTTCCTCGGACTCTGAGAGCATAACAGACTCATTCAGTTCAAATAAAACCCACTCATCACTTGCAGTGAGGCTAAAAGCTGCTCAACTCAGGAGAAAAAAGCAACTCATGAGTCCACAAGCTCAGGGAGAGGCGGAGCTCGGCCACCTGCGTGTCACTTTGAACACGCTTATTTCAGTATCTTGTGGTAAGGGAAGAGAGGCAAGCCCTCAGTGAAAGCAGGAATGTCCATGATGGCGACAGCGCCCGCCATCTTGGTTGAGACAGGAAGGAAGGTGAGCTTGGACACCTCTCCGTAGGTTGAACCACATAAATCGTCTCCTTGGCCTCCTCCATTTTTACCGTCTCCGTTCTCGTCCTTCTCTTCAGCACCGAAGCCCACGACCTGTTAGGAGACGGGGTGGAATTTATAAACCAGGACTGAATCTAAAACTCCTCTGCTGAACATGAAGGGGATGGTGCAGCTTACATGCACGCTGAGTCTGCAGCTGTTTTCACCACAGTGTCCCTGGAACCAGGAGACGAGCTCGGCTCGGGTCATCTGCTTCAGAGCCTCGATCTGCACACACACAGGAAACAACTAAACCAAAGCTTCATGTTCTAACTGTGTCGTTTAAAGAAGCAGATAAGAAGTGACGAGTTGTATTTGTGTCTACTAAGCACTTATTTAGTAGAAAACATCAAATAAGATCACTTGTTACACTCTGTTTACTTAAAAAAAGCTTACAAATTCAAATCTGAAGTTCCAATAAATAAAAGTCAAAAAGTCACAAGTCTCTAAAAATAAACCTAATTATTTAACTTTGTACTTCGCTTTTCAACACCCTAATAGATTTTATTCTATTTCGCCATCATTTTAAATGTTTCAGACCATTTCTAACAGAAAATAAGAAGTTTGAACTCTGAAAAATTGATCACAGCTGGAATCATAGCTCAGAAAGCGAGCATGCACACACTATTAAAATTGTTTAATAAATATGTATAGCAAAGTCTTGATAAGTTCGCTAGATGGCACTAAAGTTTTAGGAATCCTGAACAGATGGAGTAAAAGAACCAGAGTTGTGGGTTCAAGCTGCTCCAATCCAGGTTTCACCTGTTCAGGACTCCCTGCTGCTGCTTCTTTCTCCTACATCACGTGTCAAACTCAAGGCCTGAGGGCCAAATATGGCCCTTGTACACATATTATCTGGCCCTCAAGATGTTTTAAATGCAAGATTTTTTTTTAATCACCTCCAATTTTGCTTTACAAACTGAGCCTACTTTATTTAGTGCAGACCTCTTATGGCCAACTTCCAAGTTCCCCCAAATATATTTTTCAGTAATCTTTGGTTTTGATGTTGAAAGAGCGACAGAGAACATCAAATGAGATTAATCAAACTCTTGTTGAGGAAAAAGAAGTCAGGTATCTGACTGGGGTTAATGCATTGACTGAAACTGACCCTTAGTTTGAACCACATGTTTAATTTTGGTCCCTTTATGTTAGAGTTGGACACACCTGTAGCCTTCGTGAGGACCGGTGAACTTATGGTGTTCATGTTGGCAGCTCTTTGTTTTATAAGTCACTGTGTGAAAAACAGTTCAGCCTCTTTCTGTTCACTGAAAACTGGTTCACTATAAGGGCTTGATATGAGCCAATAACTTCCAAGAATAATGTTAAAAGCTAGCATTTACTTGTCTAAAGCTTCTGATACTGTAGATCATGACATCTTTTGCCATAAGCTCTCTGATACTGGTTTCTCAGAGCACACTACCGGTAGGTTTTCTAATTACCTTATCTCTCAGGCTGAAAGAAATGTGTTCAACACAATGGTACTTCTTCCAGTTATTTAACGGTCAATAATGGTGTACCACAAGGCTCAGTCTTAGGACCCACCCTCTTCACAATCAAGTAATGTATGTCAAAACATTTCCTGATGTATCCTTACATTTCTATGCCGACGACAGTTTATTGCAAAGCCAACACAGTTGCTAAGGTTTTCCAGCTTCTACAGTCAGCATTCGACATCATCCAGTCAGATTTGTTCTATCTCATACTGGTGTTAAATGCTGATAAAACCAAAGGGATGTCGTTTTCAAACGGAAAGTTGGTACCAGCAGTTCTTCCTCCTATCTTATCTATGAATGATGTTCCTATTGAGTTTGTGGATTCTAACAAATACTTGGGAATCTTGGTCGATGCACATCTCTCTTTTAAGCCTCATGTTGAAAACTTGGTAAAAAAAATTGAAATTAAAATTGGGTTTCTTTTTCAGAAACTGACTCTGACTGTCTAACTCTGAATGCTAGGAAACAACTTGTAACTGTGACTTTCCTTCTGATCATTGATTACGGTGACATTATTTATATGAACGCTTCATCCAGCTCCTTACAGATGTTGGACTCTGTCTATCATGGTGCGCCAAGATTCATAACTGGCTGTAACTACTATAAACCACTGCACCCCGTATTCACTGGTTAACTGGTCATCATTAACTTCATGCAGACTCTCCCACTGGTACATTTTCATCTTTAATTCACTTCTTGGTCTGCTGCCTTCATACATCTCCTCCTACATGTCTTTGCGTGAGTGCAGCTACAGCGTGCACTCCCAGAACATTGTTACCTGCAGTGTTCCCTCAGTGAGGACTGAACTTGGCAAAAGGGCCTTCTCCTACTCCGCTCCTGTTTCCTGGAATATCTTACAAAAAGATCTGAAGCTCTCAACCTTGACCTTTCTAAGAGATTTTAAATAATTGTTAAGTTCAACGCAAAAATCAATGAAGTCACGTTCTGTCATGATCAGGGGGTGGTTGAGACCCAAATGCAAGCAGGACTCCAACGAGGTCACAAAAAAGGTGTTTTAATCACAAAAAGGCAACAATAACAAATAATGCTGCCGGGGCAGCGATACTACTTACATTCGTAGGAAATACATGAAATACCAGGGCACTAGGAGACGACCGTGAAGATGCAGCTTAAGCACCTAATGCTCCCCTGCCTGAGATGCAGGAGAGCACAGTATATAAAGGGGAGTCTCTAATTAAACCCAATACGCAACACCTGAGAGTCATTAACTATCTGCACAGAGCAGGGCAGGTGCAGATCCCTTCAGTATCCCCTCTCTAATGAACAGCTCCTGACGTTCTAACATACCCCAACCCAACTTGGGTGGGTGGCGGGGGAAAAAACTAAAGGTTGGAGGGCACCAAAACAAACAATCTAGGAGCAGCCCTGAATATATGTACAAAAGGAGTTCAGGTGGGCGTCCCCGAGACCATCCAGACCACAGGTCAAGTTCAGGTGGGCGGCCTGGAAACCGTCCATTGCCAGGGCAGAGTTCTGGAGCAGACTTGTAGGCCAAAGGGGCTGCAAATGATGTTGAGACTGCAGCCGTCGGTGTAGGAATCACAGGGGCGGCAGATGTGATGACCAAAGAAGGAGCGGCGGCAGCTGACACGGTGACCACCAGAGGAGCGGCAGCTGCTGCTGACGAAGGAACCACAGAAGGAGCGGCAGTGGCTGACGTGGTGACCACAGAAGTGGCAACAGCGGCGGAGGCAGGATCCTGAAGAGGAGCAGCAGCGGCCAACGTGGTGACCTCAGGAGCGGAAGCAGCGGCGGAGGCAGGATCCACAAGAGGAGCAGCAGCGGCCGACGCGGTGACCTCAGGAGCGGCAGCAGCGGCGGAGGCAGGATCCAGAACAGGAGCAGCAGCGGCCGACGCGGTGACCTCAGAAGCGGCAGCAGCGGCGGGAGCAGGAACCAGAGGAGGAGAACAAGTGGCTGACGCGGTGACCTCAGGAGTGGCAGCAGTGGCAGCTGGCACAGGAGTCACTGGAGATGTAGGAGTAGCCGGCGACAGAGGAACAACTGAGGACGTGGGGCCCTCCAGGGGCGTGGACTCATCAGGGACTGCAGGAGCTTTAAAAACTACAGAGACTGCGGTAGGCCTGGAAGCAACCCCAGGGGCTGCAGCAGTGAAGGCCACTGGTGGCGGAGCAGGAAGTTCAGTGGGTTCAACCTTATCTGAGTGCACGTGAACCTCCGGAGGGTCAATCTCAGCCTTCTTCCTCTAGGTATAGGCAAGGATCTCCCAGTCAGCGGGCAAACGAAAGAAATGAGGACAGCATGTCCAGGTTCTCAGTATTTCATCAAAGAGGTACCTCCTGGTACTGACCCTGTCTGTAGGAGTAGCACGGAGAAGGATTACTATACCACGAAAGTGTGGAAGAGTCAGCTGATCCTCCAATGGTGGTAAACCAGGGGCCAGGTTCGTCATCTCAGGAGCAGGAAACCTTGAGGGCGTGGAAACCGTCATGGAGTGTGCCAAGTAAGAGCGAGGCGATCTCCTGTCCCACTCTCTTTTCTCTCGATGCACAGTCCTTTCTGTGTTATTTGAAAAACACTCAAAAAGGTGGGTCTCTTAGGGTGCATTCACACCAGCCCTGTTTAGTCCGCTTTAATCGAACTCTAGCTCGTTTTCCTAGAAAGTCCGGTTCGTTTAGGGACGTGTGAACGCGCCATCGAACTCTGTCACGGAACAAAAAGGCGAACTCTGGCCCGGGCTAAAACCTAGGTCTTGGTCCGGTAGAAGAGAACTCCAGCGCGGTTCGAGTACAGTGTAAATGTAAACAGACCGGGTCCCGCTCCGCAGGGTAAACAAACACGCATTTCTCTGACCTCATATGGAGCCGTCAGCTGCCTTGTGTGAAAAAACAATATTCTCCATGGTCTTCTGTCTCATCTTCTGCTCATGCTAAGTCCATTTTTGAAAAATGACCAAATATAACTCCTAAAACTGCTAAAACTTGATGCCACTTCCTTTTTGTTTTTATTTACAAAAGAAGAAGACGTGTCTTCAGAGGTTTTTGTGTCGTTTCTTTCAGTAGTTCTTGGTGCAGCGCCCCCACAGGCGAGCGGGAGAATAGGTTGGTTCAACAGGTCGACTTGACTGCACAGTGCAGTGTGAATGCAAACACACCAGCTCAAATGTAAACAAAAGCTCATGAATATTGGTCCCGAACCGAACCGAGTCTACCGGACTATCTGGTGTGAAAACGACCTTAGAGGGGAGCATTCTGTCACGATCGGGGGGTGGTTGAGACCCAAATGCAAGCAGGACTCCAACGAGGTCACAAAAAAGGCGTTTTAATCACAAAAAGGCAACAATAACAAATAATGCTGTCGGGGCAGCGATACTACTTACATTCATAGGAAATACATGAAATACCAGGGCACTAGGAGACGACCATGAAGATGCAGCTTAAGCACCTAATGCTCCCCTGCCTGAGATGCAGGAGAGCACAGTATATAAAGGAGAGTCTCTAATTAAACCCAATACGCAACACCTGAGAGTCATTAACTATCTGCACAGAGCAGGGCAGGTGCAGATCCCTACACGCTCCTGTTGTTAGTTTTCATAATGTAGCTTGTTTTTATTTTGTTTTATATCACTACTTCTTTATTTTATATGCATTTTATGGCTATTTATTGCTGTCTATACCTTATCTGTGGTTATGTTTAAAACAGGCCTCTCTTGAAAATGAGTCCTCGTCACTCAATGAGACTAACGTGTATAAAAAAAAGGTTGAACAAAAAATTTATGTATTTCTGATGTTTTAAAGCACAAGTGAAGTGTAAATGACAGAAACAGAGCAAAGTGTGAAAACTGAGGAAGCTGAACTAATTAAAGAAATGACACCGTGAAGGAGAGGAGACAGAAAGCTGACGGTATTTGATGTGTGAACGTTTTCTTCTCACCTCTCTGTTGAGTCTGTCAAACACGTACTGCTGGGTCGCCACCTCAGTCCAGTTCCTGTCCACCTCCTCCCCCAGGTGTGTGTCCTCGCACTCCTTCAGCTTCACTAGAGCCGTCACCTGCATGAAACACACCATCCGCACCGCGTTGACGCACCATTTGTGTACTCAAGCTGTTTCAAAATGTGCAGTGCAGCACAGTTTAATGTATTTAGTTATACTTTGATTTTAAAACACACCAAGTCGATTTCGAAGTCTAAAAACTTTGCTGCAACTTTTTCTTTGAGGAAATACACAAATAACACACCTGAGTGTTGAAGGCTTCCTCGGTTAAAGTGTTGAGCTTCTCCCCAAATGAAACCAAGAACTCCTCAATCTTTAACTCCACCAGCTCGGTACTGGGAGAGATGGGAGTGAAGAGATATTACAGGCTGCGGGTTGAATTTGATCCTGTTAGTCATTTATCAGTCCCCCTCCTCCCACTTCCACGGCCACGCAGATAAATTGTAGCCGAGGAATGGCTGAGCAGTGAGATACATCATACCTCGGTTTCCAGAAAGTGCTTAAGATGGATCGTTTCCTTAAAGGTTAAAACCGTGTTGCCGACTCACTTGAATTTAGTCGCCTGTGTTTCCACGGTGATGGAGAAACCCAGAACACCGGAGGTGTTTCTGCAGGTGGGGTAGACATGGTAGCTGCAGCAGGAGACACAAAAAACAGCAGCGATGATTAGAGACAAAAGAGACGACCCACTGGAGTCAATTTGCGTTGAAGTTTCCAACAGATGCCGTTTAAAAAGTAAAAGATGAAAAGAGTAGTTATATGTGTGGGTTTAATGATTACCGCTTTCCACATTTTACACAAAAACTAAACCGTCCTCTTCAAGCTCAACACTGGCTAAATGTTTCCCAAATGTACAATAACAGAATAAAACTGAACGTCTATTTCTGCTCATTTTCAAACTGGACAGTAGGGAAGCAACAGAATTCATCCCCTTTGACACGTCTCTGTTCTTCATCCAGCCTGAACGTTCAGGGGTTAATTCGTTTGTTTAGCAGCGGTGACGGTTTTTACTTTTAAACTAAAGCCTCTGAAGGCGAATCAGTTCTGGGCTGTTGCTTTACGTAGGGGTGTCGAACTCGGTTACCAACAGAAGCTGATACATTAACTCAGTGCTTCTCAGTTATTTGCTGTTACACACCCCGCCCCCGCCACTAGGAGACGTAAACATTTTGCGCCCTCCAACACTTCGCCACGACTGTAAATAGTATAATTTGTCTATAAAATTATTACAAGTGCACCTCTGCATAACACTGTATTAACATTACATAAAAAAAGAAAGAAATATAGATCAACTTACAACAAAGATTAACATTATTTTTTAGCCTGTAACAGAAAAGACAAAACAAAGTGCAACAACACCCCCCCCCGCCTAAAAAACCATCCTTATTTAAACTGTAAACATTTTTGACCTTTTGATGCTGAAAATCAAATTAAATATAATCAATAAATAATAATAAATTCAAATTGATCAGCAACATTTTAAGTCAGCAGTGTTGTATAAAACACTTTCACCTACAAAACAAAAATGAATAAAACAAAATCCGCTGGGGGATGATGTGCATGCTCACAAGAGAAGAACCTGACAAGTTGTTTAACGACATAAAATATATTTTGTTAGCAAAGAATAGAGACCTAACATTTGTTAAACATTACCGCTGTATTGAAAAATAAATAAATCAAAATTGTGCTTGGACAAACTCATTGATAAAACTAAAAAAATTTGTCAACGTGAAAGAGGGGGCAGGTGTTGCTCTTGCTTTGAGTTTATACTCTTTGTTGCTGCGTGCTGTGAGTGACAAGCGTCCAGAGATATTTATTTATCGTCTCAGCAACAGAGGGGAGCGACACGGTTCAAGCATGGCTCCCACAACAACAAGGCAGACATATTTGTTCATAACTTTATTATTAGTAAGTCTGAGAGTTGCCGGATACGAGCAAACAGTTGCAAGAACGCACCCTGACACAAAGAGAAAGGTGCAAAAAAAACCCTACTCCCTGTGCAAAAATAGCATGTTCCCCGGGGTCACACACGACCCCCCTGGCATCACCTTGAGGACCCCCAGGGGGGTGCGCCCCACTATTTGAGGACTGCTTTAACTCGAGTCAGATCCTCGATATCTTTTCTCGGTTGCAGGTTCTGTCTCACTTGACCAACAATGTTCAGTCAGGTCATCTGGACGGTTTCTTTTTGTGCCGAGACGTTTCGTTCAACATCCAAAGAACTTCTTCAGACCTGACTGAACATTGTTGGATTTTACACCTGGATTACTGAACATGAAGTCTGGCGTCTCACTTGACGTTCTGTTGCTCTTTCCACATCAGAATCAATAATGACAGAATGATCCAACCTTCTTTCTGGCTTCAGAGTTAACCAGCTGGCAGGAGAAGTCTACATTAAATGATGCATTTATCATTTTATTAAAGAAAAAATAGAAAATATACAATATTTTACATTTAAATGATCATCTTAGGGGGACAAGATTTGCCCCGTGGCTCAAGTTTGACGTTTGCTCTTTGACCCTGTGCTCTGTACCATCCTACTTTCCTCCACTTTCACAGCTTCTGCCTATGGAAACCACTCCCACAGCATGACGCTGCCACCACCATGCTTCACTGTGGGAATGCTGCTGATGAGCGAAGGTAGGTGTGCATTGTCCTCAATGCCAACATGTTCAAATAAATAAAAAAACACCTAGGAGGTGATTACTTTTGAACCCATTGGAGATAAATAGATTTAGTGGATGTAAAAGAAAATGTGTCATATAGAGAAACAGGGAAAAAGAACGAGTGTGTCAGTTAGATGTCTTAAGCTCACACTACGGTCTGAACATATGAACCTAATGGAATAATATAGTGCTTGACACAAAGCTGAACTGACTTGTCATGCACGAGTGGTTTCAAATAAAAGTTGAAAATGTAAATAAGAGGACAGGAACTCACCCCAGAGTCTCTTTAGTTCGGAGGAAATCAAAGCACGGTTCCTCCATGTGCATCTGAAAAACAACAAGGGCTCAGTCAGAGACGGAGGGACGACCGGCTGGCTCACGAGATAAAACAACTTAAAGGAGAATAAAAGCAATACGTCTTAACACTCACCACCAGCAGCTCCATCAGTGTGTGCTCCTTTAATGTCTTTGGCCCCGACTGGAAGAAAAGTAAAAAAAAAACAAAAAAAAACTTAAAGGCCTGGCATGTCTTAAAGAAATGCACATCACTTGCCGCCTTTCAGGCCAGAGTTTTAAAATAACATCATCTTACAATAAAATGTGTGTTAAAGCCATTTCGCTCAAATTCTTTACAACCCTAAATAAAAAAAGGTTGGGATATTGTGTAAAATGTAAATAAAAACAGAATGCAGTAGTCCCTCGCTCTATCACGGTTTTTCAAAACAAGATTGGACATGACACACAATTCGTTGATTGATGGATGAGCCGCACGACTGGCATGGAATTTTTATTTTAAATAAATTATTTTTAATTATTTAGCACCTGCTGCAGCTTTGTGCAGCCCATACTGCTGCAGGATAAACTTCCTGATGCAGCTGATCAGCTGCTCTGTGTGCAAAGCTGAGAAGCGGGCGTGGCCAAGAGCGCTTGCAGGTGCAAAGAGAAGAGGAGGCAGAGCGATGACATCATGACATTCTCTGCTCTTTTAGAGCATTTAGACTTTAGAAACATTGTTTAGAATATTGCAAGTGTGGAAAGGGTGTATATATATATATATATATATATATATATATATATATATATATATAGATATATATATATAGATATATATATATACTAAAATAAACTACTACTTACTACTTGTACTACTATATCTCCTTCGCCATTTGTCACTTACTGCGGGGCTTCAGGGTATGGATCCCCCACGATAAACGAGGGACTACTGTGTAATGATTTGAAAATCTCAATAACCCCGTACTTTATTTGCAATGGAACATAGCAAATATCAAATAACTAAGTTTTTTTTTTAAATTAAGTACATTTTAAACTAAGAAGTTGTACTTAAAAAGCTGAAAGTACATACTATTTTGATGAAAGCAATACGTCTCAAAAAGTTAAGACAGGTCCATGAATACCATCCTGTTGTTTTAACAACAGTCTACTGTTAAAAGAAGCTGAGCTGAGGAGAGCAGGTCCTGGAGGTCCTGGAGGTCCTGGAGGAGAATGCTCTTTAATGGTCCTGAGTCGTCTTTTCTGGACCTTGTGCTTCATAACGCACCAGATGTTTTCAGGTGGTGAGTGGTCTGGGTGCAGGAAGGTCAAAAGCCTATATCAGATACACTAATGCACCTCCATACCATCAGAGAGACAGGCTGTGTCATAATAAAAAAGCTAGATGGTCACCTCTTTTCTTTCAAACAGAGGTTCCACAAATAATTTCAAATTTTGACTTGTCTGACCACAGAACAGTTTTCCACTTGGACTAAATCTACTATAGTTTAAATGGTGTTCACATCTGGCTTCTTCACTGCATGATGGAGCTTCAACCCTCTTTTGTGGATGGTATGCTGGACTGTGATCACAGACAATGATTTGTGGAAGAGCTCCTGAGTCTGTGCAGTGATGTCCAGTGCAGAACCAGACCAGACCAGTGCCACTTGACGCACTGTCACCCTCACGCCATGGGATATTCAGTCTTCACAATTTTCAGTAGAGGAACATTATTCTGAAACTATTCCACTCTATGTAGACAGTTTTTTGCAGACAAGTGAACCTCTGCCCATCTTTATGTCTAAGAAATTCAACCTCTCCTTTTATCTCGGTCCTCTGACTGAGATGTTGTAAATTTCTCTAACTTGGTGCAAAATGCTCCTCCTGCGTCTTCTTGGCATCTTATACTTTAACAGCCTCATGCTGCTCCTGTCCCAACATTTTAAAGATGTGGAGTTGCCATTAAGTTTAACATTACCTTATTTTTTCTAAAAAAATTGTACAATTTCTTGATTAGTATATTCCCATAAGAATAAAATATTGTTGTATGAGATTTAATATTGTTTTTAATGAACCTTTCACAACATCCCAACATTTCCTGGTGACTCGATGACACTTCCTGTATAAATAAAAGTAAAAAAAAAATCTGACCAATGAAATTACCCAACAGCTCACAGTTGACCCAATGTAACAGGGAGGGGATGAGAGAGTAGGAGGGGGGATTACCATGCATGCACAGACCACAGCACTTTTTGCTCTGGAGCAGGACAGCTTGAAGATGGCGATCAATGACTTCCTGGTAAGCTACTGTATTTATTTATTTTTTTAACCAGCTGTGTTAAAGACATTGTTCAGAAAAAAACATTTACTATACTGCATGTATTTGTGTATGTTACGGTACGTAGTTAACTCCCGTGGCTTATATATGGACAATGTTTTTAAATTTTATTTTAAATTTAGTGTGTGCAGCTTATATTCGGATGTGCTCTTCAGACCGGAAATTACGGTACATGTGGCAGCCATCTTGAATGGAGCTAACTTAAAAAAAGATTAGCTGTAGATGTACACCAATGATTACTTTCAGGTCTAAGAGATATTTTGCTAGTATGACGAACAAACACATTCACGCAGACACAAGAAAAAACATTATTGCCCTTCTGCTTTAAAGGGGTGAGTGATAAACAGGAAAGCATGAACTGAATATAATCGTAGCGAACGTAGCCGTTTGACTGTGTGTGTGCCAGGTTTACCTGGAAGTAAACGGTGACCTCGGAGTTGGCGTCTCCTTTATTGAGTGATTTGACTTTACAGATGTGGTGTTTCGTAGGAAGTTCCACCACTCGGAACATCACTGGCACCTCTGCTGGCAGCTTGGAGAACTGCAACTTACTGTCACAGGACAGAAGAAAATTAATGTACAGAAAGTAAAACGGAATGAAAAAAAAACTCAAATGAAGAATATTAAGAGAAATCATGGATCCAGATGGCGATAATTATTTTGTGGCTGCAGACAGATCTATTTGATCAAATGGTATCAGTGTTTTCATTGGAAAATGCTTCCAGATTAAGAGCTGACTTACTCAGTGATGTACTGCAGGAACTGCACTGACTCCTGTTGACACAGTACAATACAGAATAATGAATAAATAAGGAACAGTGAAGTGGGAATGAGCAAAACGAGATGCACTCAGGATCAGAAGACTCATTTTAATCAGTGGATATTTTTGTTAATCAGTCTGCTTGTGCATGACACGAGTGCTGCTCACTGCACTGCTGAAGTTCCCCTGCACCAGGCCCTCAGCGTACAGCTCGGCCCTGAAGCTCCGGCTGAACTCCATCAGCTCTTCTCTGGTCAGACCAGAAGTCAGAGCCTGGTACTTCTCCACCATGGACCAGCGGGAGTGCTCCAAGATCAACAAGCGCACGTCCCTGAGAGAAACGGGGGTGAAGGAGGACGCGTTAGAGGAGTTAAAAGAGACGGCAGGTGTGGGAAGCTGTTTTTGTTTACGGCTGTCACACATTTCACCACTAGAAGGCAACACAGACTCGGTAATGACTCACACGGTGCAAGTGAAAAGTCAGGAGGAGAACGACGAGTACACAACGTACTTGCAGAGTTTCTCCGGTTTAATGAGGATGTTGAAGTAGGTTTTTTTGAGCTGCTCAGTGAACATGCTGAAGACATCACCGGAGGCAGAAAAATCAGCCAAGTGGTCAGTTATCAGGTGGAACAGCAACTGTGAAGGAAACCGTGGTCAACAAGTGAGACTGAAGGGTCTGCATTATTCAGTGTGTGGTTTCATGCATGGCCATTTATGATGCACAGATTTTCTCTGAAAATCTGTGCAATATAGATGAAGGAGTTGACTCACAGGCAGCTTGTGGTTGAATCCTTTAACCCTGATGACCAAGCCGTGCTCGCCGGCCACCAGTTTGTACTCCAACTGAGCCACCTCAGCCTCGTAGGCCGGCTCTGCCAGGTTGTGCCCCAGAATATTAACCAGCAGGTCGAACAAGACAACACTGAAGGCCAAAGAGAAAGGTGAACATTCCAACAGACCATTAAGAAAATTAAATCAAGCTAATATTAGTGGTGCACCAATTTATCGGACCTGATTCTTTAATTTTGGGAAATCTGAGATCGGACGATACTTAAACAAGAAACCCATTTTTTGTAGTTTTAACAACAATTGTCTAAACATTTATATTTCAGAGCACTACCTCAGGGCCAGTTAAAACAAGTTTGTATTGTTTCTAGGATATTGTTCAAGGGTATGTTTTCAACAAAATAAGATTGGAAAATTGAAGGTGCATTGTGACCTTAGAGCACCTGACCTCGTCGCTTATAAAACAAAATCGGTATCGGCCAAAACTGGAATCAGCAGGTCAGACTTTTTAGAGATCGGTGTAGGAATATATATGTATAGAATATTGGACTTCTGGTCCAGGCACCCTTGAACAGGTATTACGCTAACGTAACGTAGACCGGCCTCACCTCACACATATATAAACACGAGTCCTTGTAGCAAACTTAATTCCTGTGCCTCGAAGTAAAGCACTAAGAATCCGTAATTTAAATACAATTCTGTAATGTTTATTTTCAGTTTGAATTATAACATGGAAATTATGGCAAAAATTGAATATTAATGAACAACCAACAGTATTATTTTAGAAAGTAAATTACATAAATCTGGAGACTTTGAGAAGGAGTTTGATTCAATTTGGACTAAGGTTCTTAGCTCTTAACGTTAAAATTTAGGTAAGTTTATTTCAGATTCGTGAATTAAATTATCTAAACAAACTCAGTTGGCACTGTGTCTCTCATCAGAAGAAAGATGTTCGGTCCTACAGGAATATGCGTCCATTTTTCTCATTACCACAGCGAATACGATGGTTTTGCTGGAGTTCCATGCTGAAGCCAGGGTTGTTTCCCCAGGGCCATGTAGGGACCAGCCGGCCAGCATTCTCAGGGTGTTTGAGAAGTTCAGGACGTTCACCATCTCTCAGCTGGACTGAGTCAGAGCCAACATCTCCATGAGACTGTTGTTCAGGGAGTCTCATCAACTCTCCACAACCACTCATTCCATCTGCTCAGCTCAGCCCCAAAGCCAACTTCTCTCCTCGGCAGTCGAAGCTCAACTACTTGGTGTAATAATAATAATAATAATAATAATAATAATAATGAATTTAATTTGTAACGCACTTTTCATTAACAAAAATCTCAAAGTGCTACAGAGTGCAACTAAAATCAACTAAAATCTGTGATAAAATCAACTAAAATCTGTGATAAAATCAACTAAAATCTGTGATAAAATCAACTAAAATCTGATAAAATCAACTAAAATCTGTGATAAAATCAACTAAAATCAATGATAAAATCAACTAAAATCATGGTGTCTTGTTTACCTGACACCAGGAAGACTTGCCCACTTAACTTTTAACCAATCAGAGGGCTTCTCAAAGTGGGAGTATCCCGACTGTGTAATTTAATGTTAATAATGTTCAAAAGAGTGACACCATTGCGTAAACACCTTTTCTTAAAAAAAAATGCAAGTTAGATTCTGGCACCATGCTAGCCATGCTAATACAAACAAATGGGTTTCTTTGAATCAGAACTTCAACTCGGTGTTAGCTTTCTTTATTGCCATGGCAACCAGTCTCTGATGAAAAGGCACAGTGAAGCTCTTTGCTCAAGATCTTCTTTAGGGAGACACAAAGTCTAAACTTATCATCATAAAGTGAATATGTCAGGGTGGCCGAGGGGGGGGGGGGGGGGGTAGAAAGAAGCTTCCTGTGTGAAAACAGAATGCCAATCGGTGCACCCCTAATTAATATCCTGATACGTGCTTAATCATCCTGGTAAACACGTTCAAAAATGTTAAGTCAGGTCCTATGGACGGATCCTTCTTGGTTGAAACGTTTTATCTTTCATCCGAAAGACTTCATCAGTCTGAGGCCTGCCACAAACTCAGTCCTATAAACAGCACCTTCTCATAGTGGATCAACCAGTTAGCTGGAGACATCCAGAACTAGCTTTTCACATGGTACTGTGAAAACGTAGCCAACCAACCAGGAGGACCATCAGTCTAATAATAGATTGTTAGTGACCTGATGGACGCTTGCTATTCACAGAACCAGCCTGAGGACAAACCCAAAGTGGTTCAAAAATGTCCTGATACATGCTCAATCAGCCAGGTAAATAAATCTAAAAACAGTTACGATCCTCCTTTTACATGTGAACACCTGGTTCTGGATGTCTCCAGCTAACTACTTGACTCACTTTGAAAAGGTGCTATTTATAGGACTGAGTTTGTGGCAGGCCTCAGACTGACGAAGTCTTTCGGATGAAAAACGAAAACGTTTCAACCCAGAAGAATCCGTCCAGAGGACCTGATTTAACTTTTTTGGATAAACCACGTTAAAGCAGAGAATGCTGAAGAGGAGAGCTTAGGTCAAAGAAAGGAGAAGCAGCTAAAGAAACACAGGGACAATAAAATTAAATAATAAAAAAAAAAATATAGGAAACAAGAACATTTCTGAAGATATTTTGTATTCAACTGCTGCCCAAAATTCAAATTATAGGCTAAACTAAGAAAAAATGCCTACAGTATAAAGAAAACAAAGTGCCAGTGGCTAATTATGGTCACCATAGTAACCACACACCTGTCTCTCATTTCCTAACTCCGTTAAACATAAGACTTAGCCAGCCGTCGTGTGAAAAAGAAAAAGTGTAAAGCAGACCAAACATGTTTGAACTGTGAGCAGCAGAAGACTGATGGTCACATGAATTTTATGTTTCTACTGTATTTTATGCAGGAGTGACAAATTAAAACGACCCCACTTCCTGTTTTCAATATATAGTTTGAGCTAAAGTTTAACTGAAGTTTATGGAAGTTTAGGGCTGAACCGGCTGCATTTTAGGATGATGTGAGAGAAAACTCCAAGACCTAAAGCAGTGAGAGACACACTGGGTGAAACAAGACAAAAAGGTCTGTGTGTTCATGTATAATTTGTAATTGCACTAAAAAGCTGTGGGAGTAGCAAGTTTGTTTGCAAAACATTTGACATTTTTAGACGATTCAAAAATTAATCATCAACGATGAGTTCAACAGTCAGTAAAAAAACTAAAATTCATAAATCATGTGACGTAATTACCAAAAAGTCACACTGCTCCTTATCGAGCTGCATGTTTGTGTATAATTTGCATATTTCTCTTCAAAACTGTTACATGATACAGAACAAAAACGTTGAACACCAAAGTAGTAGCGGTTGCTTCAACGCTTATGCATTATGAAGTAAATAAGATGTCAAAGAGGAGGTAGATGATCAAATAGATGAAAGCAGAAAACTTAAACTTTAAAGCTTTTAAGTCTGAACTTACTTCTTAGCGGATTGTTGGATGACTGGAGAGATTAGGTGGAATCTGATGTAGGCTGTAACAGCAGAAACAGGAAACAGGTCTCAGCACTTCCATGTTAGGACTAAATATCTTTATGGAAACGTTGTTGCAGAAAACACACACACACACACCTTTGGGGATTTTGAATTTGTTGTCCTTCTTGTACCACAGACAGCCCTTGTCGCTGCTGGCTGTGCGAACAGGGAAGTCTGTGTCCGGGCAGTCGGAAGGCTTCAGGGTGAAGTCAGTGGCTGAAAGACGCACACAACAATTCATCATCTTCCATCCTGTACAAACTCATAAATGATACGTTAGCATGCTGAGTACATGAGTTTTACTCCCCAGTGATGGATACAGTAACCTTTGGGTAAATAGGTAAAGGCAACAACATAAATTTGACAGCTTGCGTTTGCAGCATTCCAGTAGAGCCATTTGATGCCGTGAGGAAACTGTAGACTTCATCAAGAGCACCATCAACAGTGATTAAGGTGCTGCGTTTTACAGACGGTCTGATGTTATGCATCAGAAACACAGGAAACATACTTTGCTCGTGATTCAATCCAATTTGTGATGCTAAAATCCTATTATACAAATTAATATGGGTCTCTGGGGAAAAAAAAAAAAAAAAAAAAGAGATGCTGCCCACATGTGGTTTAAAACCTAAAAGGATTTCAAATTTCTATCCTGGCAAGAAATTTATCGTCCAAATCCTTTCTGTAACGGAAATCCATTTATACATGAGTGGCATATAAATATTGGAATCAAGTCACATGACCAAAGTTTGACTGTCGGAAACTTGATACAATTAAAAAAAGCATTCTCTGAATAAATCCAGTCCCTCCCTCCCTCCAGCTCTCCTCGGAGAATTCCAAGGCAGGACAGCTGAGAGACATGGTCTCTTGTGCATGTCCTGGGATTTTCCCAGGATCTCTTCCGTCAGACATGTTAGGAAAACCTCCCTGGGGAGGCATCCAGGGGGAATTCTTACAAGATGGCCGACCCACTTTGGCTCTTTTAGATATGGAGGAGCAGAGGCTGTATTCATGCTCCATTCTTCCCCAGGGTACCCAAACTCCTCCCCTTGAGGGTAGCACTTCATTCCCGACCTGGGGAGGGCAATCCACCCTTTTTTGACTGAGGACCATGGTCTCAGATTTGGAGGCGCTGATCCTCATCCCAGCTGTTTCACACTCTAGCTTCTTGTTGTCTTCTGTCCATTTGAGTATTCTGATGTTCTATGTGGCCTGTCACCTAGGACCAATCTGCCTTGGGACACCCCATCAGTGACAACTGCCCCCCACAGCATAGCTCAGCTCATTCAGGCACACAGACTCCCCCACCATGATAATGTGGTGATTCAGGCGGGAGAAGTGACTTGTGTGCCAAAATTTTAAACACAAACAATGTTCAATCTGTTAGCAGGAGGAGTTTGTGTCGGGGACGACTCTCAGCTACTACCACACTCAATTTTAGCTTAATCACTGAAACACTGGCCGAGTTATAGGCAATTTCTTTGTTTGTAAAGCTCAATTAGAAGAGGCGGCCATGTTGGATGAAGTTAAGTCCAAAAGTTTATTACTTGTAGATGCACATGCATTGACTACTTTCATTAAAATGTGTCCACTGGTTAATGAGCTATTTTGCTAACAGGCAAATAAACAAACACAAGCAGACAAACAGGCAGTTGCATGACTGCCTACTTTTTGTGGTGGCAAATGATGTGAACACAAAAACAGGACGAATCTTTTGGGGAAAATGGCTTTAAAATGAATACTCTGTGTGAAAGGTCGCACTATTTTCTTGATTTATAACATCTTTAAAGACCGAGTGATGAAAATAACAAACACTGTCTGATCAGACGGCTTTCTGACGACTGGATGTTTGGAAAAGATGTAAGAAGCATAAAGTGATTTATTCACAACTGTCCCTTTGAAGATGCATCAGCCACAAATTGGAGGCAAAACAAGCGACTTTTTGCAGCAGTTTGTTTTCACTCACCGATGAACTTGTTTTCTGCAGGAAGGTGGAGGTCACCGCTCAGCTCCATGTCTCCTGTCCACTGCTCCATCCACTTCTGCTCAACGTCTGTGTAGAGTTTAAACACTTACTTACATATGAAAGAGACAAGGTTTGCCCAGAACATCCTTCCATTTTGTAGGACAAGATGAACTGAAATGATAAAAAAAGGGAAGAAGCAACACACCCTCCACACTGTACTGCGTACAGAACCACTTCTCCCTGAGGGGACATCTGCCCTCGTGTTCAGGCGACAGCAGCATCAGGTTAGCTTTCTCTGGCGTTAGGAGGGACAGAGCTGCACCGATCACCTACAACACACACGCATGAATGTCAAGTCTGCAGTGTACAAGTAGATGCTAGTTTTCCCCTTTAGTTTTCTAAATAACTTTGTTTTATGTGATAAAAGTACCCGTCATTCAAATGAAGCGGCAGACAGACTGAACAGAAGTCACCGTCATCACAGGAAGTATAAAAAGGCAGAATTAGACGCAGATTTTGGTGCAAAGTAAAATCCACCAAAGGCGATAAGTATATTTTAGATATAAAAAGATCAAATCACTGTCACATCAAACAAAAACCTTCCAGACTTTTCTACTTTGGGGCGACCTGTTCTATTAACACCTTTGTCTAAAAAGGGAAATAACAGTATTTCAGAATAAAGCTCCAAAAGTGGTTCACTCCCAGAACAACTGAGCTACTTACCTCTGGATTGTACTCAAACATCAGTTGATCTCCTGTCAGGAGGTCCTCCTTAGGGAACAGCTGCATGTTTTCACAAATGTCCTCTACGTACTCGATGGGGTCGATCTAACAACAAGGGAAACCAACATTGTTGCACTTGTGGTATATTTCGCTGTTTGCAAAGCACATTTCACACAGCAGTGTACCTGCTCCTGGTAGTGAAATTCATTCGCTTCTATCTTCTGAATCTCTTCGTATATTCTGTGAACAAACAAGCAAAGATGCAGATTAATAACCCTCAGTGCAACACAGAAAACCCAGATGTCACAACAGCAACACTCCTTGAAACAGATTAGGAGAGGGAATTGAAAGAAAAATAACACAGCAATAAATGTGTAAATGAGTGGACAGCTAACCAAACACGCTGAATATTAACATGCATTATTTTCTCTTCTGGACTAGAAACAAAATAAACCAACATTAAAACTGAGTTTGGCTAGGGAAGAACAAGAAAACTGAGTCTCTGTTGTTTAATCTGCCTCGTTGTCATCTTACCTTTGCTGCGGTCCAAGTGTCTGCAGCAGCTTCAGATACTGGAACACCAGGTGAGTAACCTGTTTAAAAAAACGCAGACAGACAAAATAAAAACTTAAAACTATATATAAAAATAAAAGAATTAACACAGAGTTTACACCTTTACAGCTGTCCTGATTCATGCTCAATAATCCAGGTAGAAAAATCCAACAAAGTTAAGTCAGGTCCTCTGGACGGTTTCTTTTTGTTGAACCACTTTGGCCATGACTGCCTCAAATGAGTCGGTGGGGGAGAGGGCGGGCTCCAGAAACCATCTGAACACCATCCAACTGGTTGTCCCACTATGTGAAGGTGCTATTTAAAAGACAGAGTTTGTTGCCCCTTTTCAGATTCTGTTCATAACTTTATGGACAGAATTTCTCGGTGCAGCCAGGGGGCGGAGGGATTGTGGTTTGGTGGCCTCAGGATTCCATCTCTGCTCTATGCAGATGATGTGGTCCTGTTGGTGTCACCGTGCCGTGATCTTCAGCTCTCACTGGAGCGGTTTGCAGCCAAGTGTGAAGCGGCTGGGATGAGAATCAGCACCTCCAAATCTGAGGTCATGGTCCTCAGTCGGAAAAAGGTGGATTGCTCTCTCCAGGTCCAGGGTGAGGTTCTGCCTCAAGTGCAGGAGTTCAAGTATCTCTGGGTTTTGTTCACGAGTGAGAGAAGAATGGAGCGTGAGATTGACAGATGAATTGGTGCAGCATCTGCAGTATTGTGGACTCTGTACTGGTCCGTTGTGGTGAAGAGGGAGCTGAGCTGTAAGGCAACGCTCTCTGTTTACTGGTCAGTCTATGTTCCTACCCTCACCTATAGTCATGAACTCTGGGTAGTGACCGAAAGAATGAGACTGTGGATACAGGAGGTTGAAATGAGTTTCCTCTGCAGGGTAGCTGGACTCTCCCTTACAGACAGGGTGAGAAGTTCATTTCAGTTCAGACTCAGAGTAGAACTGCTGCTCCTCCACATCCAGAGGAGCCAGCTGAGGTTGCTCATCTGGTAAGGATGCTCCCTGGGCGTCTCCCTAGGGAGGTGCTTTGGGCATGTCCGACCTGGGAAGACCCAGGACACGCTGGAGAGACTACGTCTCTTGGTTGGCCTGGGAACTCCGAGGAGTCCTCCCAGAAGAGCTGGAAGAGGTGGAGAGAGATGTCTGGGCCTCCCTGCTCAAGCTGCTTCCTCCATGACCTGACTTCAGAATAAGATGAAGATGATGGATGTTTGTTGCAGCTCCTCAGACTGATGACGTCTTTTGAATGAAAGATGAAACATTTCAACACAAAGAACCCGTCCAGAGGACCAGACTGAACTTCGTTGTGTCGTTGCAGCCATGTTTCCGTCTGTGCTGTTTAAATGAAGTGTATGTACAGTCTCTTGAATGGTAAAAGTTTTGCAGGTCTTCTTTCATGGTTATTCAACTCCAACAATTTTATTGGAATGTTGTGACATTTCAGGGAATGTGTTTGCGTTATTGCCGGGTAAAACCGGAGATTAAATCCATTGTAAGGTCGTGCAGCGACTGCCAGTGGCTGATTAACTTAGCTAGCTGTAAGACCAGGAGCACTCCAGTCTCACTAATTAACACATTACGTCTTGTTTACAGTGAGGTTATGTGCCCGACTATTTCTTGGCCAAGACCAGTTGCCAGGCAACCGGCGGAGAGTATGGAAAGGTCACTGGCATTGACCTTGTTGCAAAGAATGTGAATGACGAGAACAAAAACATTGCTCACATGGAAACTGTTTAATAACAACTGCTGCAAGGGGACAAAATAATAAAACTTAGATTAAATTTAAGACCGAGCATCACTCCAAGGAATACATTTAATGATTATTTTCTCAAAGTTTCATCAAAATCCATCACGTGTTTAATAAAATATTTTGCTAACAGACAGTGATTGTTAACTTCATAGTTAAAGGTAATAACTGAAACCTGGTAAAGCCCAGAATGTGTGTTGGGGATCAGTCTCAGCTACTACCACAGCAGATTTTATGTCAATATCTGTCAAACTGATTGCATTAAAGCTATTTTGATGTGTTTTGGTGTCGGCTGGATTTGGCGGCCATCTTGAACTGGGATGAATCCAAAAATTAACGAGTTGTAGACGCATGTTCAGTGATCATTTTCTGCAAGTTTCATTAAGACTCATCCAGTGGTTTATGAGATATTTTGCTAACAGACAGACACACAAACACATGCAGACAAAAAAAAAAAAAGTATTTTTAAAACTGCAAATAAAAGAAGTAGTATTTAAATAAATTGCTGTGAATAAACATTCTTTACATCTACATTAACTTTTATTCTGTTGCAAAGGTATATGATGTTTTGTTTTGTCAATGTGCTTTTAAATGCATTTATGTAAATACGATCCAGTTTCACATTTGCACGTTCCACAGATGTGCTGGGGGCAATTTAGGACTAAAAGAGAGAGTTTAAAAAATAATGACGCTATTTCAAAAAAGGTGATGTCAACAGCTGACTGTAATCCTGCATGGCTACAACCGATATGAGACAAATGTGAGACGGATTAGGAGGATTTGCATATTTCTTCTTCTAAAATGCATAAATCATGAAGTAACTGAAGAAATTTAGATGAATGCATGTGCAGATTTAATGTAGAGACAAAATATGTGGAGATATCACACAGGAACGGGACGACTATGATGAACTTTGGTCAACTATATTCACTTAGGGACAACAGGGTCTTTACAAAAATTTACTTTTGTTGTTTATGAGCAACAACAACATAATAAATGTTACTTTAAAACACCACCATATTCATAAAACATACACAGGAAGAGGGTAAGAGTGATGGACTGCACTGCTCACACCCAGAACATGTTGTAGCACACAGTACAATCTAACTGCAGGAAAATATGGATTAAATATTATTGTGTTTTTATCATTATTGGATAAAATATAGCAGTTTTTTTTTTACATTAGCTTGTAACAAATGTATGACCCCAATTCTGAAAAAGATAGGAAGTTAAATGAATAAAGCCAGAATGTAACAATTTGCTAGTTTTATAAACCCTTATCTTCACAGATTAAATGTTTAAACAAATATATTTTTTAATTAATAGACCCATCCCATCTCAAAAAAGTTGGGACAATGGCAAGAAAAGTAAGTGGTACAAAAAAAAAAAACAGCTGGACGAGCATTTTGCTACTAATTAGGTTAATTGTTAGGGGCGGCTGTGGCTGAGTGGTTAGAGCAGTCGTCCTCCAATGCAAGAGTTGGGGGTTCGAATCCACCAGCAGTCACATGCTGAAGTGTCTCTGGGCAAGACATTGAACCCCTCATTGCCTCTGATGTGTGTCCCATCAGTGTATGAATGTGATAAAGCTCTGATTAGTCTCTTTACAATGATTTGTTCAATAAGTTTTGTAGAGATCTAGTATAGAGCTGTATGAATGGGTAAATGATGCACAGATTGTAAAGAGCTTTGAGTATCTAGATAAGGCAGAAATGTGATATACAAGTACAGTCCATTTGTTAAGAGGTCAGTAAGAGGACTGAGAATAAAAATACAATTTTAGAGAGGCTGAATCTCTCAGAAATAAAGATGGGCAGAGGTTCACCAGTCTGACAAAAATGTGCTAAATATATTGGAACATTTTCAGAATATTGTTTCTATTTGTAATATTATTATTAATAATAATGATGATAATAATAATAATAAATTGGATGTTTACTCTGGTCCAATGAGATAAAATGTGAATTCATGAGATTAGAAAATCATTAATTTCCATTTTCTTTTAGATTTTTTACGTCTCCACTGTCAGAGTTGCGGTTGTAAATCACGACGTGTAAAAACACGGAGGTGAGTGGTGGTTAGAGACGGCGAGCCTATTATCGGAAGGCTGTCGGTTCAAACACCCTGATGGCTACATCAAAATTTGGGTGGTAAAGGGGAAACACCCATGCCTGCCTCCACCATGGGCCCTTGAGCAAGGCCCTACAGGTTCCCTAGATGGCAGCCCTCTGTGCCACATGTGGTCAGTGGTTGCTTCAGGAAGGGCATCAGAAAAACACACAAATACCAAAGCTTCAAGTGATTTCGCTCAATGTGGTGAACCCGGAAGAAGGGCGCAGCCGAAAGAAAATAAATATTGATGTGTGTTACAGAAATTAACATTTTGGAGTGCAATAAAAAAAATCTGAGCTCGACGCCGTTCCTACAACTGACCCTACTGCAAGCACCGACCCAAAACTCTTTCATCTCTATTTTTCCTGCTTTTTTATTTTATTGAGCAGATCGTAATGTGTGTGAATATTAAACAGAAACAAACACTAAAAATAATCTTCTTTATATTAATGGTTATCAGCTGTGCTGATTTCTAAAGAACTGGTTGGTTGATCTTTAATGAAACAAAGCTGACAAGTCAAATCAGGACACATTTTGTGTTCACGCTGTCTCAAGTAAACTAAAGTCAAAATCATTTATTTTTAAAACCAAATGTTTTATGCTGGGCTAATTTCTTCTGATTTGGGCATTTGAAACCTGCAATAACAGAAATGTTATATATCTTAACAGACACAGGAGTGAACTGTGTAATGGTTAGTACTAGAGAAAATTACCACAAAATAAAAATGGAATAAAACAAAAACCAAGGAGTGTCTAGTTCCATTTCAACTAGACTCTATGCAAAATAAAATAAAATAAAACAATAATTAAAAAAATTACAGGTCTAAATAACAATTTTTTAAAGTGAAAATATAGAATAAATAAAGCTAAAACACTAACCTCAGCAGGCTGAGTGAAAGTGTGAGAAAACGATGCTTGATATAAGGAAAATTAAATAAATATACAGCAGTACTGTTCAGATGTAGAATACCTAACACAATGTCTTGCCATACTTTCACCTCTCATCTCTCTGCTGCAGCTATCCATTAACAACCTGAGTTCACAGAGCTTTTCCACAGACACACACATTCACCTCTGCATCTTTGCCGTCATGACTGTTAGCAAAATGTAGTTAAATAAACCGTGCGTCCGCTTCAGTAAGTGAGCACTGATCACCTGTGACTGACTTGATGTCGTCTGGTTTCCTCTAGTCATTCCAAGAACCAAACATCACAGTACCAATACATGCACCGTTACACCTTCAGAGTTCCTGCCATCCATAAAAAGTCCCTCCAGAGTGTCCTGGGTCTTCCTCTGGGTCTCCTCCCAGTGGGACGTGCCTGGAACACCTCACCAGGGAGGCGTCCAGGAGGCATCCTAACCAGATGTCCGAGCCACCTCAACTGGCTCCTCTCGACGTGGAGAAGCAGCGGCTCTACTCTGAGTCCCTCCCGGATGATCGAGCTTCTCACCCTGTCTCTAAGGGCGAGTTCAGACACCCTGCGGAGAAAACTCATTTCGGCCGCTTGAATCCGAGATCTCGTTCTTTCGGTCACAACCCAAAGCTCGTGACCATAGATGAGGGTAGGAACGTAGATCGATCGGTAAATTGAGAGCTTCACCTTTTGACTCAGCTCTCTCTTCACCACGACAGACCTGTACAGATCCCGCTTCACTGCAGATGCCGCACCAATCTGCCTATCGATCTCACGCTCCATTTTTCCCTCATTCGTGAACAAGACCCCAAGATACTTGAACTCCTCCACTTGGGGCAGGACCTCCTCCCTGACCCGGAGAGGGAATCCTACCCTTTTCTGGCTCAAGACCATGGCCTCGGACTTGGAGGAACTGATCCTCATCCCGGCCGCATCACACTCTGCTGTGAACTGCTTCAGTGAAAGCTGTAGATCATGACCTGATGAAGCCAAAAAGACCACAACATCTGCAAAAACAGAGAAGCGATCCTAAGGTCACCAAAACAGATCCCCTCAACACTTTGGCTGCGCCTAGAAATTCTGTCCATAAAAGTTATGAACAGAATCGGTGACAAAGGGCAACCTTGGTGGAGTCCAACTCTTACCGGGAACAAGCCCAACTTACTGCCTGCAATGCTGACCAGGCTCTGACACCGGTCATACAGGGACCTAACAGCCTGTATCAAAGGGCCTGGTACCCCATACTCCCCGAGTATCTCCCATGCTAGCTTTTATTTTTTTACATTTTGTTAGTATTTTGCAAATTGTGGGTCTTAGCCAGCATTTCCTGTTTTTTTTTTTGCTAATGTTTTGCTATTTTAGGCTTGAAGCTAGCATTTTCAGCTTTTGTTTTTTTGCTAGCATTTCACAACTTCTGACTCTAAACTACCGTAGATTTGGTTTCTATTTGCTAACATTTCAATACTTTTTGTTCTTAACTAGTATTTTCCTGCTTTTTGCTCCTTCTGGCTCTGAGATAGTTTTTTGTTAGCATTTTGCAACTTCAGGTTCCTAGCTAATCCAACAAAGTTCTGTCAGGTCATCTGGACGGGGTTTTTTTCTTTGTTGTTGAGAGGTTTTGTCCTTCATCCAAAGGACTTCAACAATTCAACTCAGACTGATGAAGTCCTTTGGATGAAGGACGAAACGTCTCAACAAAAGAAAAAAATACAAAAAAAACATCCAGATGACCTGACTGAACTTTGTTGGATTTTTTACCTGAAATATTGAGCAAGAACCTTGATGCTCGTAGCTAATGTTTTGCTGCTTTTTGTTAGCATTGTGCTAGCATCTCTTCAAATCATTCAATTGTTTGTGGCTACGTTTTAAACTGTTAAGAGTTAAACAAGCAGTGACAGTTGAGCGATTGAAGATTCACAGCTTTATTTTCAGCTTCTTCAACAACTTTCAGCAAAATCATTCAGCAATAAGTGTTCACACTGCATTTTTACAGGAAATGCACATTTTCCTAGATTTTTATAATTTTATTTAATCAAGTACAAAACAACAGTTTGCACTCCTGTGCCATTAGATAGAAATTATTCCAACAGCAAAATTTTATAATATATCTAAGGAATAATTTGAGGTGTTTGATGCTTTTAATTCTAACAAAACCAGACTTTTGATTATAAGAGAGCTATGATGTGTTGGTGCAGCAAACAAATTGAATATGCACCCAGCACATACTTATACTTTGATTATTGTATTTTTTTCATATTTAGCACTTTTTACTGTTGTTGCGTCATTTTCACATTAAATGTAGTTTGCATTTAATTGTTGTGTTACCTGACAAACTAGCAATCCTAACTTTGGCACATTTGTGTCTGTATGACCTTCTGGTGTTCATAATTGTGCTCGTCTCTCTCAATAAAAAAGAAACAACAAAAAAACAACTCAAACTCAAACCTGAAGCTGAACGTTGAATCATAATTTGTGAGTCTTTCCCATTTGTATTAAGTGTTAATTGTTACATTTGTGATATTTAGAGTGTTTAAACAAATTTTATTAAAACTGCAGTGTCATGTGATCTCGTTGTTCCACACTAATTAATGTCTCTCTTGCTAAATTAGCCTTCTAAACAAATGCAGCCTTGCAGCTGTGATGGAGCATATCCCTGAACTACTGTTTTCCTTTGTTTTGTTTGTTTTTTGTCTGCACCAGCTTCATATTTAGCTCACTTGCTGTTTGTCTTACAAGGAGAATGAATGTCACCAACAGACTCTGGCAGCTCGCTGACATTTTGGTGACAAGACTGACGGCGTTCGTCGATTACACCTCGAGTCTGAGCGCTACGCTAAAGTCCATCTATTTAAAGAACAATTTTTCAGAGGACTACCGTACTTGCCGCTGTACACGTCGCACCACCGTATAAGTCGCATCAGTCCAATTATGTCAAATAAAGTGGAAAAATACATAAATACGTTGCTTCGCCATATAAGTCGCATCTATTATGCGTCACTGCTGACAACCCGGAAATGTGGGCCAGTGTGCCAAAAACAGATTGACTGCCAAATGGCGGCCGTGGGAGCGTGCACGAGAGGACGTTAACAAGAAATTAACAAGATTATCATTTAAAAACAATTATTTGTTTGCTCGAAATTATAGTGAAGGTGTGTCTCAGTCTAACTTTTCCTTAATAAATGCACTTTAACAACCAAATCAGGTGCATTTCAAAAATCGATTTGAGGCTGCTGGAGCATGCAGAGCCAAGTGTCTCATTAATAGCCACTTTTACCTATTAATGAGACACTTGGCTTGCCATATAGATTGAGGGCCCTCTAGTGGATAAAAATGGTAGTGTTCAATATTTTCAATTTCAGAATGAAATAAATCATCAGATCTCAGACAAAAATTGGGTTAGAAATATGGAGAAAAACATATATTAGTCGCTTCCATGTATGAGTAGGCCTGTCGCGATAAACAATAAATCAATTAATCGTATGATAAATGAAAATTATCGACCTTATTTTCATTTATCGACGCTATTGTTTTTTCGTGTCTCTCTCTTTCTACTGAAGACACTGGATGACAAAAAGCTCAATTCTGGTACTCTTCACTGACCTCTCCCTTTCTCTTTAAAATCTGTTTTAACCGTCCAAAATTGCGTTTTTAGATTGTTAAAAGCAGCTAGGCTGAGAAGCTAAGCTACGAGCTAAGCTAACAGGCCGACCTCGAGGAAAAACCTCTGCCTTGTCAAAGCTCCTTAATTCACGGTTGAAACCAGTACCTTTATCTAAAAAGTTGTTTTTCTCTGCAAAAAGAAGCTGAGAACTTGTTTACTGATTTTTTTATTAAAAGCTTTGTGTGAAAAATGCTATATTAAAGAGCTCAAACCGCCATTTTGAGAAACGAAAAACAGGAAAGAGAGACAGCCCATGTCACGTCAAGGGGCCTCCCTCCCATTTTTCTTAAAGAGACACACTGCTCACTCCCTCACCATCCATCCTTTGGTTCAAACAGTCTTAGACTGCCATCCAGTGGTCAAAAAGGTACTACACACAATAAAATTACCCAACATTTCTTCTTATATTTTCAGGTCTCTCTTGTAAATGAGTCCTCGAGGCTCAATGGGATTTACCTGTATAAATAAAGGTTGATTGATAAATTTGACAATTACTAATATTTGTCAAATTTAAAACAATATTATCATTGATCGCAATAATTTCTGAGACAATTAATCGCCCAGCAAAATTTGTTATCGTGACAGGCCTATGGATAAGACGAAGGATTTGCAAATCTATGCAAAAAGGTGCGACTTATATGGTGAAAAACACGGTAATAGACTTTTTTTGTTCTTGATAGAGCAACAAAATGAAATTTGGATGTGTAGAGCACTTCAAATGAACAACTATGCTTCTAACTTACTTGACTCCATTCTTTTTATCATGAGATAAATCCAGTGACCCAGATAAGTCCAGATTCCTTTGGCAAAAATCGAACTTGATCAAAATAATTTAAACAACATTTTCAAGGCTGTTTCATCATTTCTACAAGAGCTACTGATATAAGTTTTGTGCCTGAAATATTTTTCAATCAAGTAGTAAAGACAAAACAAACCGTCTTCTTGTTGAATGATCGCCCACTGAGTCTGAGGTTAACACAAGAGTAGTCATAGCAACTGATAACGCACATAGCTTCCTTGAAATCACATCTAAAGCCAAGAGAAACTGGTCATCCAGGTCATGCTCCCAATCCCTGCTTGTGTGTATTTTATTAGTTCTTATCACTGGAGTGTATAGGGACATTTTAATGTCACCATCATACAAACAAAACAGAGAAAACACTGATCCCTACTGATCCGACAATAAAATAAAAACAACCGAGCTTGAAATTTATCCATCAGAGAAATGAGAACAGGACGAGGAGAGAGACAAAGGTGGAAGAACAGAGAAATGTTTTGAATTTTCTGTACCTGGTAGAAGTTTTGGAAGCCTTCATCAGTGAGGGTGATGGAGATGGAGAAGATGGAGTATGTGGTGTTTTGGTCAAAGCCCGTCTCGCTGTTTCCTCCATATAAAGCCAGAGCCCAGCACCTGCAGACAAACACAGGCATGAACGCACACGTCAGGAACACACACACTCCGAGCTGTAAGTGGCAACAGTAATCACATTAGGTGTTGAAATGAGTGAAGGGTGTTGAGGAGAAAAAATATACCAATTTGTGTTTCCTGACAGAGTGCACACACACACACACACACACACACACACACACACACACACACACACACACACACACACACACACACACACACACACACACACACACACACACACACACACACACACACACATACACACACACACACACACACACACATACACACACACACACACACATACATATACACACACACACACACATACATATACACACACACACACACATACACACACACACACGCACACACACACACACACACACACACACACACACACACACACACACACACACACACACACACACACACACAACACAATGCTTTTGTGTTCCTCCTGGAGCCTGAGAATAGTTAAAAAAAAGAGAAAAAAAAAAAAAAAAACAAGCAACTGGGCACGGTGGTGCAGTTGATAGAGCTGCCACCTCTCAGCAAGCAGGTTGCCGGATCGAATCCCGGCCATGGAACCTTTCTGGGCGTGGGTTTCCTCCAGGTACTCCAGTTTTCTCCCACAGATTAAAAACATGCATGTTAGACTGATTGGTAACTCTAAATTGTCTCTAGGTGAGAGAGGGAATAGTTGTTTGTCTCGTTTGTCTCCATGTATATATATATATGTGTATATATATATGTGTATATATATATATATATATATA